TACCAAACTGAAATAGCACGTTTAGCACCCTGGAGACTGCCTGGGGACACTGATGCTTTCTGTGCTTTCTTTGCAGTGAAAAATAACATTATTTGTTTCGGCAGAAGGCTATTTTTATATTGAGGTGGTGTAACAACCTGGGGCTAAAGGAACCTGTAGGTTAGCATAGCCACAGGGCCCAAGAGGATGTAAAAATGGGTTAGAGAGCTTCTGAGGAACAGTTTTCCCAAATGCTATGCATAGGAAGTTAAGAATCCCAAGTCCAAGGTTAATTAATTTTATTTATCTAATGTACCATATGCACACTGTGCTCATGGCAACAGTGTATGAAATTTAGGGGTACAGTAAGAGGCAGCTTAGCACCAGGGAGCTGAGCATTAATGATCTGCTCCCCCCCACTTCAGGCCATTACAGCACCTGGGTTAAACTGGCATAAAACCCACAAAAGGATAGAAACTGAAGAGATTTTTACCTCTGTGGGAATTCATAAAATCTGATCATTATTGCTTCCTTAATGGTTTATTTTAAGCAAAAGTCACTATTGCTTTAGCAAAAGTCACTGCGGCTTTTCAAGAAAGAATGAATTCTGCTGGTTTTCCTGCCAGCTTGTTAGGAATGGCATGTTCTGTTCCTTTGCTGAGGGAATAATACTGAAATTATAAGGGTTAGCTGTAACTGGAACAATGAGGAAAAAGGGATGGCATATTTGGGATAATATTAGAGAATAAGGATGCTGCTGTTCCAGTGTGTGTGTAGTCCATTATCACCAGTACTTGGAGTGGTTTGAGAAACAGTTGCTTAGAGTGGAGACAGATGCCTACCAGAAATGAAGGATCAAGTTGCTGATGGTTGATGCAAAAGTTGTGCACCTGAGAATTACAGCCTCTGCAGTGTGTTTTTTACTGACTGGCCCAACTTCTTGCATGTGTAACCCATTATAATTCTCATTATGATTTACTATGTAACCCATCTTGATTTTTACATTTGAAAAATTTTTCAGCTCAGTGGTTTGTACAGTGAGAAATAGCCCAGGCTGACTGTACCTCATCTGGGGACATCTTTCCAATGCTCAGCTTTCAGCATGTGACCTTCAGTGCTGTCCAGGAGCCACTTGCTTCCCTTTTCCAAGAGCTATCGCTGCTTTTTTAGCTGCAGTTTTTTCTGTGGCCTTAGATATACTCTGTATTCTGAGCTGGGATTTAAGATGAAGCAATTATTTCAGCTGGTATTTTGCATGGTGGATGATTGATGGATATATTGGAATGGTAGGATTTCTTGTCTTGTTTTCAATCCTTATTACTCTTGCATTTTTTCTGGTTTTATAATCACAGTTCTCACTTCCTATAGCAACACCAAGCTCCTTGGTGGAAGAGTCAATTCACACTGAGTCCTGGATGGATTCCCTGGCTGTTGAAGCCAGGTAGGCTTCAAAGATTTCATTTACCATCACAATTTTACCTCAGAATTTCTGAGGGGCCTTGAAGAGCATTTGGCTCAAATGCATACACTTAAAATTAGACAGTTTAAATTACTTAGCCTGGCAAGTGGCTTCTGTGCAGTTCTCGTTGGGGATCCAACCAGATCAGGTTGATTCTCTCTGCAGTACACACTGCTGGGTGTCACACGGTGGTTAGCAGGAGACAGACAGATAAAATAATTATCTATTGTGTGGGCATAATTACAGGAGTTCATGTTTTATTAGTAACCTGTGTTCAGGATTTTCCTATGTGCATAATTACAGCAAAACACACGAGTTCTTTGCTCTCTGTTGACTGCACTGTGTGATGATGAGCTGGCAGCAGCCCCTCTGACCTTTCACCATACAGATAGTGTATGGAAAGCTGGAGCATGTTTTAGTCACTTATCTCTTTTAATACAGTAAACATGCTGCAGTACAGCAGTGCACCATAGCTGTTGGAACAACTAGTTAAGATGTGGTTGTCAAAATCAATTAACACATTGATTTTCGATGTGTAACTCTTACTGCTTTCAGGTATTCTAGCTTAAATAGGTTTTGAGGACAGGGTTGTTGAATATGAAGGGATTTCTGGTTTGGAGCAGTTGTGAACTACAAGCTGGGGAATAACTTAACCAATGAGTAGTTCTGAATGGCTTCCTGATGCTCACACTTTCCTCCTCTTCTGGGTGTAAATGTTTTCTCCCTTAATGTGTCCAGTCTCCCCTACCCTGCCCCTGGGGTAGGAATTGGCTCCCAGCTGATACAGGGAGAACACATTTGTGAGCTCTCCCTGTGGCAAGATCCTCCCGGCCCCATCCTGCTTTCTCCTCTCCTTTCAGCAGCATTCCAAGGCGCTCTGCAATCGCCCCTTCAGGCCCTGAGGCAAACTGTTCAAGGCATGCCTTTTTATTTCCTCTAGATCATGGAACTTCTCTGACACAGAATTATTATTGTGGGACATAATTATGATTGGATGTCTTCATCATATAATTTCATGATATATAATGAGCAGCAAAAGCTTATTTCCTCTGCTCTTTGAATACTGAACTTCTGAGATTAATTAAACTGATACTGAAAATGCTTTTAATTATATATGCTGCATAAACAGCACTATTAAGATCAGATGAGAATATTATTGCCTGAACAGTTTCAATTTTTTTTTTTAAATATCCACTGTGTGTTTTATATTCCTGTTTAAAGAAATGTGGGGATTTTGGAGGGGATAAAAACCTCCCCAGACAGTGGATGGGATACTGAAGGAATACCTGAATATTTGCTGAAGCAAATCAGCTACTTTGCTCTAATTGCAGTGTGTAAAAGCAAGAGACTACAAAATTAAGAGTATTTTATTTAAGTAAATAAATGCTTTCACATGCCTAATCCCTAATCTTTGTAGGCAGGAAATTCATAAGGTGTTTTTTGATCCTTCCTTCTAAAGCTGTAGTCACCCCAAATGAGACTGCTAGTGATGCCACTGCCTGAGGCATAGGAATGGATGTGCTTTATCCAGTGTCAGATGTGTGCCATGTACCTGCTAACCCTGTGTGAACAGGATTAGAACTGGGCTTTGGTGACTGAGTTTGGGAGAGAAATTTCAGTGCACTGGCAAAGACAAACACCTCTGTGAAATCATTCTGGTGCAAGAAGGAATCTGAATTTCATAACCCCAAATTTAAGGGATGCACTACCAGAATGGAACAATGCCATGTTTAACTTTCAAGAGATATGTTGTTGGTATTTTTTAAGATTATTCAATATGCAGCAGTAATGTAAATGAGGCCAAAAAAATAGAGATTTATGTTTTCAATACATTATTTGGTGTTCATGGACTAAGCACTGCACACCCTGAGCTGGGATTGCTGCCTGTTACCTGATGGGCAGTTTAACCATGTGAAAATTATTGCACCCTTACTCCTGCACTTCCAGTGGAAGTGAGCAAAGTCTTCTGGAGGCAATGGACATGGGAAGGAATGTGTGAAGTGAGTATCTCTCTCTCAGGAGTTTCTTCTGAGTGGAGGAGGGACCAGGAGGGAATTCCGTGTTGCATCTAAGCCATCACCTTTGACAGGCCCAGGTGCCTGGGGCACTTTGGCTGTCCTGGAGCCGGTGGCAGCCCTGGCTGGGTGGCTGCCCCGTGACAGGGCTGTGTTTCTGAAGGGAGCCAGCTGGGAGGGCCCTGCTCACACACCAGCTGGCCCAGTCTGTGTTCAGATGGCAGCACAAGGCTTGCGAGGCACCTCTGAACTCGCTCTTCACCTCCAAAAACAGGAAGAGCAAAGGCCAGGAGCAGCTTCCCCTTCTCAGCCCTTGATGCAAACCTCAGGAAAAAGCTAAAAATGAAATTAATGGAATTTATTCGTGAGCTTGTTGCTACACCTTGATTTATTGGCCTTTTGTATCTTCTAACTGATAGAAGAGGAATCCTATAAGCTGGGATTGGTCTCAGTAGCAATCTGTTCTCCATTGACTGTCACTTTTTAAGTATCTGTCTAGTTACATCTCTGATGCCCTTTTCAGTGAGTATTTTTAGCATGCCAGCAGAACACAGGCAGAATAAACTTGGACTTTTTGGAATACCATTTGTTCTCTTGTGTTTCAGAAGACTTAAAAGGTTGACTAAGAATTACAGTTCTGTAGACCATGCTGCTTTGTGCTGCTGTCTTTATCCATCTGTAGAGCTCCCCCATCTCTTCCACAATGGGCATTTTGGTGTCTGTCAAGTGCTCAGGAAAATGAACTCATTTATGTTTTCCTGTCCCTCTCACTAGTCATTTGCAACCATTTGAAATGGATGTATATTTGCAGCAGAGAAAACTCAAATTCACTAATTGATGCACAAATACACTCATTTACATGCAATTTGGTTGGTTTTTTTTTTTTTAAATGCATGTATTTGCATAAATAAAACCTCTTTCCCAAATATTAGTGTGAACAAAAGCCGTTTTCATGGATGCCAAAAAATGGCTGAATAGAAAAGCCAATTCAGAATTTGCATAATAGTTACTAATTGTTTTCCTTGCTATTAGCCTGTCTCTGCTTAATAGGCAATATTGGCTTCTGTTTCCTTTCTGGGTGCAGTCTGATGCAAGAATATGAGCTACTGTAGAAGTATAATAGTTGAACTTACCTGGTGTGCAATTCTGGGGCCTGGTTCCACCCAGGAACAGAGCAGAGGCTCTGGCAGAGGACATCGTGTGGCCAGGAACCAGGAATGTACTTCCCTCAGTGGGGGACAACCAGGAGATTATTTATTCCCACAAAACATTAGGAGGTTTGGAGAAAATCTCAGTTTTTCTTTGGGGGAAGGAAGATCTATCTTGGTTGCAGCCAACATCTTTGGTTGAATGTTTTGTTCTTTCCAAATGGTATTGCTAAAGCCTCTAGAGAGTTTAGGAGAAACACACACAGTTTAAAATGGCAGTAAATAAATAAATAAACAACTAAATCTCTGCTTTGCTCAAGTATATTTTGTCAATTTCCTTTATTTAGAGATACAGAGAAAGATCTCACATGTTTTTACTGTTCTTGGTATTTATTGCAGCGCTCCTGTGTTAAAATGTGGAAGTCAATATGGCTCAAGACCATTAAGTCAGACTGAGCTATCAACCGTCTGCAGAAACACAATCTGGTTTGCTGGGCAGGGATTTATCCAATAGAGAACTATTGATTCTCCTTATAAAGAAAGGGAAGAAGAGTAAAACAGGTATGTTTTATGCTAGAGAAGGAAGGATGATTGCTTTATTTCACGGATGTTTTGCTGCACCTTAATAACCTCACTGTTAAAAACAAATTGCTTCACTTCAGTGGAGTTGTGGATTCCAATGTGCCTGCCTGGAGCAGCAGGAGGAGCAGGGCAGGTGGAACCAGCTGTGCTTCACCTGCAGCACGGCCCCATGGCAAAGGGCTTGCCTGCACTGGGAGGAAAACACTTGGGATTATTTAGAGCATGCACAGTCAAAGGATTCAGAGAAGCTGTGCAGATTTAGGAGTTGGAGAAGTTTTGTAAAGCACAGGAGAGAAAAAAGTCAAATGGCTTGTTTGGAGGATTTATTGGGAAGTGTAACTTAGATCCCTTTTTAACTCAGATTTGTCTGTCAGCATGGAATAAAGTCTGGTTTGTGCTACAGCAGTTATTAATAGAAAAATTGCATTTCCTTAGAAAAAAGAGAAGCAAGAGGGTAATTTTGGCCAAGTTTGTCTTCCACAGCAAATTGCAAGATTTGCAATTAATCTTGAGAGGAATGAATTGGATTTTTTTTTCAAAGACCAAATTATAGAGGGGACCTGATAAGTTTGTATAATATTTATTCAAGTATGAATACAGAGAGGAGGAAACAGTGTATCTGCATATGTATATACATCTTGTCACTTGATACCCTGAAATTCGATAGTTAGGGATGAAATACCGTAATCAACAGACCCTCATCCTCTTAGGTCCAGTATAGCTTTGGAGAGTTGGCATTCCTTGTCAGTCAGTGTTCATTTTTCCAGAGCCACCTTGGGCTGCAGTGGCTGGCTGTGAGTGTGCCTCGGTAAAGGCTTGTTCAGCCCTGCTGCAGCCCAGCTGGGCTGGTGAGGGAAGGGGCTGTGCCCTGGGGACGTGCACTGTGCCACCAGCACTCCTCCTGCTACCCTGCAGCCAGGGGCAGAGCTGGCAGGCGGCAGCAGCCACACCGCTGCCTCTTTGTGTCATCAGGATTGAGACATCCCACTAAGGACACCTCCAGTCCCATCTCCAGTGCCACTCAGCAATCCAGGCAATTCTGGGGGTGAGAAAGATTTCTTCCTTTATTTGCAGCTTTCTTTCCTTCTCTTGCCCATACTTCCTGCTTTTCAAAGCAGTAGTTGTAAAAGAATTTCAGGAAGTCAATCTATTATCAGTCTTTACAGATGTTTCTTCAACTTCTTGCCCCTTTCTGAAGTAAATCTGTTTCCTTTGAAGATGCAGTGCCCCTTTCCATGGCCCCAGTGGGAGTTCAGCATCCCCTGAGCAGGGCTGTGACCGGCCTCAGGAACACCCTGGTGAAGTTCTGGTTGGACATACGCTGCTGTGTTCCTGTCTGCTCAGGAAAAGTGTGACATTGTGGTTTCCTTGGTAAGAAACGTATCTCTGTTGAAAAGGAAACATATTTCCTTTTGGAAAACGGTGTCACAAAGAAAACCTGAGGCCACTGAAAGCGGCGAGAGTGGAAGTGCTGTGTGTGACAGGGTCTGTGCCCTGTCCCCCCGGACACGGCCCGTGCTGGGTCAGTGTGCCATGAGAACCACGTCACCCAGCACACAACTCACTGCACTGCCTTCTCTGGGGTGCTTTTCACTCTCAGCAAATTTCAGGATGTCTGACAAAAGAAAAGGGATTAGTGCTATCATTTCCACTGTGCAGAGGAAGAAGTAAAGCAAGGAAGGGTTAAATTTGTAGGAAAGAAAAGGCAGAGTGCAATGCAAGATTCAGGTCTCCTGAGACCGGTTTTTCTGCCGCTCTGTTACATCCTATTGCCATTTATAAGGATCCATTTTTAGAAATAGATGGTGAATTGGAGCAATAGAGATGAGGTTTAATTTCTTTATTGGCTAGTGATGTTCATCCCTTTTTGGTCAGTTGCATTGTCCAAGGTGCCAAAAATATTTTGTGCAATCTCCTTTTCCTAGAAGATGTTTCTAAACTCTTTATCAGTTTAAAAAAATCAAAGATGAGCAAGTCAGTTGGGATATTTAATTTGTATGTAGTCATTCAGTAAAGATCAGCGTAAAGGCTTTATCCTCTGCAGTTTTTAATTTCATGTAGGTAAGGAAAAGCTACATTAATCTTTTCCTGTGTCATGCTCAGCAGGGGTCACCATCCCCACTAACCTTTTGACCCAGGTGAGTCTTGGCCTAGTTGCTTTGGGGGTGTGCAGTGAGGTGCTGTGGCAGGTGTTGGAGCTATTGGTGCAAACACCTCAGGTACCCAGCTTCTCTAAAGAGCAGGAGAAATTCCTTACTTTAATCTCCTCATTCAGCATGAAAAAAAATTATGATCTAAAAATCAAAATATACAAATGCAGTCTTGGCAAGATTGATGATCCTATGTTTTAATCAAGGTGATTAAAATGATGAGATTTGTTTATTATTATTGCTACAAGTATTGGGGAATTTTCTTCTGCAAAATGCATCTCTCAATTTAGCATTCAGCAATCACCAGTTCTCTCTAAATCTGTGGTATCTTGCCCACTTTTTTAACCAATACAACATAAACCTATGGCATAAAGAGGCAGGAATATCAGGATCAGTAAAGAACTAAATTCTGATTAAAGTCTCTTGATATCTTTTGCTTTTGTCTGTATGCCATTGGTATAAATTGTCATTATCATAATTAAACAAAAAAGGCACTGTGAATTTCGTATTCCCTTGATGATGCCACAGAAACAATATGCATGAAATAAATGTGATAGTTGCTATAAAGTCAACTTCCACAGCAGCTTTTAAAGTTTGCTGTAAAAGTCTTTGGCTGTTATGCTGTTCATAGTGAATTCATCTCTTCCTTTTTAGTTCATTGTATATTTTGAAGTTATAAAATTAATATTTACAGCTGTGTTATTGTATTACTATGTTACTCATTACTGTATTAATGGACAGTTCATCATAAATAGAAATAACATTATATTCTCCTGCAGCTTACTTAGTCAATGCTATTTATTTCTATTATTGTATTATTTCAGAAATGCTCACCTTAAGACCACTTGGAAATCTGTAAATATACTGCTGCTCTTGGGCAGGACTTGAAATGTTCAGTAGCTTCAGAATTACAGACCAGCTTCCCTTTGCTGTTAGAATATGTCAGCTACACATAATCTTAAATAAAATTGGTATACCAGGTGCCATGTGTAGAGCAGGGTGTGTCTTAACACATTGTATGAAATGTGATATTTTAGACAATATTTCACTCCAAGGAGATATTTCATTTAAACCCTTGATGATTTTGTATTTGCCTCTTATTTTCTTCCAAAAACTACAAGTCTGTTTTGACAAGAATTTTACACATAGAAACACTAATAGCATGGTAATTCTGCTCAGAAACTGACAGTGCACAACCGGCATCGGGATAACCCCTTTCCCTGGTTGGAATTACAATCAGCCTCCAAAACTAATGTTTAGGAGACATTGTTAATCTGCCTCGTGCTTACTCACTTGAACAATAAGATCAGGATTCCCTCAGGCAGAGTGTAATAATCTTTTGTCACTTTTGGGAAAGGACGTTTCCATTTATTAATTTTCACTGACGGGGACTTGGACTTCAGCAGTTGTAGTTTTTGAGCACACAGTGTTTCATCTGATTGAATTTTTCCCAATTCATCTGTGTTCCACGAATTTTGTGGCAGAATTGTCAAGACTCTAGAGCTACATCAAAAATTGTGAGCATCAATTGGGCTTAATTCAGTGGAAATTTTATTTCACAGCCGGTAATTCCAGAGCTGCTGGGTGTAGCTGTCCCGGAGCGTGACGCTGGCTGTGAGGAATGGTTTTCCTCCCGCAGGATGCCGGCTGTGCCTCGCGGCTGTGCCGGCTGTGAAATGCGCTCAGGAGACACCGGGGAGCCTTTGCAGGAGCCAGAGCCGGGGCAGGAAGCTGGGGCTGCTCTGTAAAATCCCTGGAAAGCGAAGGAAAGAAGGGGCCAACCCCTGTGGCTCCCTGCTCCGAGTGCGTGGGCAGGCAAAAGGAGACTGCTGGACATGGACCACGGGAGATCACAGGGGTCTTTTCTGTGTGGCAAAAGAAGGAGCCTGTTATCCAAGGAGAAGGGGTGGGGAAACCATTATAGTCTGGAGAATTTTTAAAAGGCTGTAAAGAAAATGTGGGAGATCACGGTGTAGAACACCTCGTACAGCACGTCATGTGTCACAAGAGAAACAGGGACAGCCTTCAGGAAACTCTCCTTAATCTTAGGAGTGAGCAAGTGGATCTGCATTCTCCCTGACAAGGGTCAGATCCCAAATTAATCTTTGAGTCTTTGTACTTTTATACTTTATGCTGTCTTGATGTCACCTGAGCAAACAGTCCGGACTGATAGCATGGCATAGCTGGATGTTTGCATCTCCTTCTGCCCTTCCATCTGCTCATGGGTCAGATGTATTTCTGATATTAATTTAAAATTATAACAACGGTTTCTGGGCCACGTTAACTTCATTATTAGCAGTGTCGAGCAGAATACCAAAGCAAAATTGGAAGAAAAAAAAGATTTTGAAGGCAGGGCTTGACTGTGTGTTATTTTTAGCACTTTTTGGAGTGACTGTTCTTAACTGCCAGGAGCTGACAAGCAGGAGAAACACAGTGTGAATCAAGATGTTCACTTGTCATCTGTTCACATGTTTAATTTGTGAATTTGACATGCAAATGGTTCCTGTGCCACTGGTGTTGATGTGGCTGAGTGATGTACCAGCCGTGCTGCTGCCTTAGAGCAGCTCTCTGGGGACAGGGTCTTGCAGAAACGGGGGGTTCTGGCCATGGCCTGGAGCCCTGTGGGGCTGGGCATGAGAAATTCTCCTTGGGTTACCAAGGCAGGACATCCTAATTTGTCTTAGTTCTCTGTTGAGAATGTGCTTGTTTAAAAATTTTATAATAAAACTGGAGAAATAAATCCCAAGGGGAGCTTTCAAAAGTATTTTTATGTATGCTGAAAGTGGGAAAATAGTCAAAAATCTTCCAAAGAGGATGAATATTTTTCACTCTCCAGCAGGCTCCAAGATGTTCAGCAGGAGACAAAACGTGGTGTGTTGCTCACCTAGCCCAGGCATGGACAGCTAAAGGCTCCAGGCCCCTGCTGGCCACTGTTCCATGTGCACATGGGTCCTGTCTGTGACCACCACGGGAGAGAGGACTTGTCACACAGAACACAGGGACAGGCATTAAAAATCAGCAATTGTTCCAGCAAAGGAAACTGAATAGATTCCTCAAATAGTAGAGATGCAGAAGGAGGAGGAGAGTAACTGGGAGAAAGAATGCGTGGAGATGGATTATTGCAAGAGAATGAAGGAAGCTACAGGTGAAAAGTGAGGTGAACTCAGAGATAAACTGGCTGAATTTAGCAGGGAAAACAACCATACCTCACTGAGTCTGGAAATCAAAATGTCAAGAGGTTGTGTTAATAGTTTTATGATGTGCTTTGTGGCATGTTCCAAGCTACAGCAATTTCATATAGTCAGAAAGACAGTGGAAATGTTTCCACTTGCCAGATTTTCCCAAGGCTTTCTGGTTTTTAACACTTTCTTGTCTGTGGTATTTTTCCATATGGCCGAATTATTTCCCAGTACAATGTGTGTGAGGGCTGAGCAGTGGGTACAAACAGGGTCTGACAAGATCTGCAGAAGAGTAATCAGCATCTGTTAACACCAGAGCTGACGAGATCCAGCAGCAAAGCCTGCAGAATGACAGAAGGGCACGAGATTCCTGAGCTGCAAAATGTTCAGGATGGCTTGCAGCGAGGATTTGCACTCCTACCTACATACACACTGCTCTTTGTGCAATTTTATGTGATATTTTTGTTTGTTTCTGGCTGATTGCCTGGGTTTAGTGCATGGCTTGTGCAGCAGCCCCGTGAGAAGGGCTCAGCCCAGCTCTGGGGCTCCTTCCTGGCTCTGCTGGGAGCAGAAAGCACTGCTGCCCATGAACTGACACTCAGCAGATTCTTTTGCTTGGTTTTGGCTTTTTATCTGAAAGAGAAACAGCTCCCATGTTTGTGTGCAGTAGTAGGGAAAAGGTTCCATTGCCTCAGGCCTTCTGATAGGGATGTTATTCCAAAAGCCTCAGCAGCTGATCTGGCGAAGGAACAGGAAAACTTGTATTCCATAGTACAGCTGGACTCCAATTCTACTGGAATTTTAAAGCACTCGTTTAACATTTTCTTCTGTGATTCAAGTTAGCATTAAAACTCTGACAACAGCTGTTGCTTAATGCAGAAGTGGCAAATAGATTTTAAAATCCAAGACATTTTCCTTCCCAAATCACTTACATTCTTTCTACAGTACCTGAAATGATCATAAGGGTTGCTGCTGGCTCATAGAGCTAATGAATTGGATTTTAAACTCTGTATTTGCTACAGCTTATGACCCCTAATTTAGAAGATATATTAAATGTGGAAAATGAGTACAGAAACAAATCTCCACTATTTGCATTTCCTTGTCTGATGATATGTAAGGGACTGATTTTAAAAAATATTTTCTAAGTTCAATATATGAAGACATGGGCATATACTGATGTATTATAAACAGACAGTAGAAAAAAATCCATTTTCTTGGGAAATATGTTGGTAAAACTAACTGTTGAAAAGTAAGAAAAATATTTCTTTAAAAATATCAGATGGTCTTGATTTTGTGAAGGGCTAAACCTTCAGTGCTGTACTGGCCTTGTACTGTTTTATTACTTTTGTATCCCAGTAATTCCAGAGGCTTCAGATGGGATCAAGATCCCTGTGTTCTGCTCCCTGCATAAGCTTAAGAATCAAGATCATCAGAAAGGAACCTTAATAAAAACCTGTCATTTAAATTGTACTTAAGGTAATCCGCAAAATCAGGTTATGGCAGCCCTGATTAGTGTTCACCTACTCATAGCTGTTTTCCTAATTAGTGCACATGGGCCACTTCTCTTTGTATTTAGCTCCAGCAGGACAGAGCAGGGGCTTTCCAGAGGAGTTGGATGGTGAGGATCACTCACTGGGGAACCCCAGTGTGTGTCTGTGGGTTGTTGTGGGGCAGCACCTCCACAGACGTGTGGCTTTGGGGTTCTGCAGGCAGACACCACGCTAATGCTGCAGAGCAGAGACAATCCAAGCTGCAGAACCCCTCATCCTGAATAAAGTGTTGCTGTGGGGTGCCTGTAGCCTGTACCCTCACTGCTGGGAATGAGGATTTCAACTCTGGCCATGCTACAGATAGTGTTTATCTGTAGCTAAGTGGCTAAATAGTCAAAAAACCTCTTCTTTTTTAATGCTTAATTTCCTTCTTATCAGAGTCAAAGTGTATGACTACTGCAACTCCCTTGTGTGAAAACCAGAGATCTGACTGTGCTGTCAGGGGATGGGAGGATTAATGACTCATGCTAATTGTATGCTTGGAATATGCTGTTTGGAAGACTGTAAATATCCACGATCAACTTGAATGATCTGAAGTTAATGCCCTGGCTGGGCATTTCAATTCTCCGCAGAACTGAAAGTACCAAAGGCTTTTGTGGGACCTGTCTGAAGACACAGTTCCCTCCTCTGCTTCTCCCAGTGCTTAGTACAGCACTAAGTCATGATTAAAAATCTCTGCCAATGCAAGAATTTGAAAGTCATACAAGCTGTCAGCTCAGCTGGACAGAGTCGGAGCTGTGTGGCTCTCCTCAGAGACCTTGGCACTGGCGGCGATCGTCTGCCGGCCCTCAGTCCTTTCATTAGTTCTGCTTGTCTAAAGATATTTGCCTTTGGCTGTTGTGGCTGCTGGTGGCTTCAGCCATCCTCCAGCTGGCTGTGGAACGTGCTCCCGTCCCCTCCTTCCTGGAACACAGCAGAGCCACAGCCATGGGCTTGTCCTGGCTGGAGAGCCTCCCCAGCTGCTGGGACACTGCCCTCCCCTCATAGACACTGCCCTCCCCTCAGAGACACTGCCCTCCCCTCATAGACACTGCCCTCCCCTCAGAGACACTGCCCTCCCCTCATAGACACTGCCCTCCCCTCAGAGACACTGCCTTCCCCTCAGAGACACTGCCCTCCCCTCATAGACACTGCCTTCCCCTCAGAGACACTGCCTTCCCCTCATAGACACTGCCTTCCCCTCAGAGACACTGCCCTCCCCTCATAGACACTGCCTTCCCCTCAGAGACACTGCCTTCCCCTCAGAGACAGAGACACTGCCCTCCCCTCAGAGACACTGCCTTCCCCTCCGAGACACTGCCCTCCCCTCAGAGACACTGCGTTCCCCTCAGAGACACTGCCCTCCCCTCAGAGACACTGCCCTCCCCTCAGAGACACTGCCTTCCCCTCAGAGACACTGCCCTCCCCAGACCTCAACCACCTCCCAAACTTCCACCCCACTAACTTCAACCTTGGGCTTTCCGGCTCCTTCCAAACCCTGCCCTGCCCTCTGCCCCACCTTTGGTTTCCAGCTGTGCTTGTTGCCAGCGATCCGTGGAGCAAAGCATAAAAAGCTGACAACCTGGCATTTTTTCCTGCTACTCTGTAATTTCAAGCTAAATATGGATCCGGGTCTGCCTTGGCTTGTTTTGGAATTGCCTCTTAGTTATTTTGGCACCGTTTCCCACCAGTGTAGTAGGCTGCCATGTGTATAGACTGTTAGCTGTCGTGGATGTGACTCACTGTTCACTTCAAACAGTACCTGGATTACAATCAATCAATGAAATATAACCTGAATTTCTGTATGGCCCTTCTGGCAGAGCCTTCCTGAAGCTGCTGCAGGACCTAATTCTCAGCTAGCGCTCCCCAATCCTTCGGAAATAACACAAGATGGCACTCTCAGGTATTACCACTTTCAGATTCACTTGGCTCTTAGAATTCCTACTTAACCCAACATACTTTGTTTCCCAAATGATTCCACAACTTTCCTGCTTCAGTAAGATGCCCTTCAGGTATAATGAGTAAGTTTTTGGTTAAAAATAACCAAAATGCTATTGAGGGCTGTAAAAGTCAAGCCAAACCCCAGGACCAGGAGCATGTGAAATTCAGGCCCTACTCAAAGTATCAGTTCCTCATTTTTCAGAGAAAAAGTCCAACACCCCCCTGCTTTTGCTGTTTTGTTAGCACAGTGTGTGTGTTAGTAACTTGTTGCTTAGATGTTTGTGTGAGTTTGAGTCAGATGTCATCTCTAAATGTGTGGATAGTGCTAGAACATAAGTAGAAAAGTTCACCCTCTGCACATGCCTTGGGTAGTGGGTAAACGGAGCATTTTGAAGGTGTATCACTGGTTGCACAGTATGAAAACTCTTCACCAAGTTAGTGATTTCTGTGAGTTTGGATCGATCATTTCCACTTATTTCTCAGCTCAGATGGAGGCAGCCAGATTCCAGAAGATAAGAACATTTTCAGTGAAAAGTTACTGACAGTTTAATAGAGAGAATAAATTTGTGGTTGCAACACTCACAATAGTGAAAATGGGTGTGTTTTTTATTCTGATAATAGAAGCAGCATTGTCAAAAATATCAACGTGGGAAAGCTCTTGTGAGAGCTATCAACAGAGAATTTTCTGAGGAAAAATTATAGGCTTTGGCTGGTGCCTAGAGTGGATAAATTCCCTTTTCATTAGACACCATTGGTCAATGCAGCTTCAATATTTACAGTTCAACACCTACAAGAAACTCAGGACTTTTCTTGGGGACAAAATGGTCCCATTCCAGTATTCATAGTGCAGTGCTCACAGCTGTCAAATTGAATTTCCAAGTGCATTTAATTTTGTTCTTTGCTTGGAATGTAGAGGAGACTGGCCTTGGTAAGCCCCATAACTGCTCATGGAGCACTTGCTCTTTGCTCCTTCCTACTTTGCTTTAGGAATTAACCTGGACAGCCCCTCTTATTCCCAGAGTTCAGTGCTGGTGGGTTAAACATCAAAACTAACATTGGGGCACAGTGAAGGGCCTGTCTGTGGCTGTACTTTGCTACATCACAGCTCACACAGCAAATAGCATCATGTCAGGTGACTGCAATGGATACAGGGCTGCAGATGTATGTCTCTTTGTAATTTCAACTCTATCAGCTTTCTGTGCTCCAGAGCATATCAATCCTGTTCTTTGGACACGTGGATTACTTAAATGTTTCCCAATCAGTTTTCCTTAGGCAGAGCATCTCTCAGTTCCATAAGATGCTCCAGCATTTACACAGTCCATTTCCTTCCTGTCGCAACATCCTGGAGCTATTTCTTCAGAGACAGATTGTTTGAGTTTCTGCAAGTCAAAGAATGTTCAGTACTGCAGAAGAATCACTGAAGCTGCCATCACACGGTGCTTCTGGCTGCACACACCGCATTCTGTTCATTTCTTTCACCTTCCAAAACCTATTTGGAAAGCGCCCTTGGAGTGCTTTAAAAATGTTAACACGTTGTCAGTCACTATGTTGTCAGAGCTGTTCATTTGTCCTTTCTTGCTTACTTGGAGCTTAGAAATGATTAAGGAATGGAGCTGTTCCAGAAGCTTGTAAATACTGACAGGTTTTTCACTGTTCCCGGTTCCCAATAGGTTTGTCCAAACTCAACAGTAGCGAGCAAACACACAGGTAGTGTACCCAGCTTTCTCCCTGGTTTTGTATCTTATTCTGTGCTAGAACAGATGCCCCACGTTGTTTGGGGTGCAGCTCTGTGTGCCAGGTACAGAAGTTCTGTGGTGAAAATGAGCGTTCTCTTGGAGCCCTCAGGTGCTCACAGAGGTGCCACATCTGCCCTGGGCTGGCCACGCTGCCTGCAGAGCTGCTGGCTCTTTCCTTGTTCCTTCTCCATGTGCTGTAAAATCACCATCCATAACAACTGATGGCTGCTGTAGAAATAACCTCTTTCTTTAAGCAGCCCTTTTACTATTGGAGGTCATATGCTTTTCAGGAGAATCCAAGCAATGTTTTTGTCACAGTCAAAAAATGCTGTGGAAGAAGCTCTGAAAGAGTGAATAGAATGGATCTCTCTCACATTAAGAACGTTTTCCCACTCTCATGATGTTAAACGTGGTATTTGAGTGGTTGTTCAAGAACAAATGTGGCCTTCAGTAGGGCTCCAAGCAAGGCAGAGCTGTAGTTTGTTGAGCATCATCCGCTCTTTCCATGGCTCTCGTCTGGGAGGGCAGGGCTGGGCTCACAAGCTGGGCACATGATAAGGGACAGGGAGTGCTTTATTTGTTGTTTATGTCTCTGGCAGCTACCACAGGAGACTGGGCGGCTCAGCTGGCCTTGCCTTGCCCAGGGGGTGACTCCAGAGCTCCCTCCTGTGCACAGCAATCTGTGGATGGGATTCCAGAGGCTGCACAGCAAGGTGTCCATGCAGAGACAGTCCACCCCTTCCCTCTGCTGAATGCAGAGCCACAGCTAGGGCTGAACTCCATTCTGCACAACTCAAATGTTCTGTAACTCTTCAAATCATTTCCTGTGCCAGAATAATTTGGATGTACATATTTGAGTATTAAAAATAGTAGTTCTGTTTCCCTGTTTGTCCTTTTCCACACAAAGTGGAAGCTTGAATACACAGCTTCCTTGAATACACGTGGGTAGTTTTTTTAAAGAAACATCAAGGAATTTTTTTCTTTTTTTTCTGAATTTTAAACTCAACAGCCAATGTACTCAACCAAAACAGCAGAAAATACTAAAATGGATGTGAAAGGACAGTGCAAACCATCTCACCCTCGTTCAAGGCCTGCTCGTGTGCAGTGGCTCTGTGCTATAAACACGCCGTATGTTCCAGCCTCAGTTGTCAGAGCTCCTCGCTGCCTGTGCTCTGGAGACAGGGGAGCAGATGGTGCTGGAGCTGTGCCACGAACAAGGTTTGCACATGCGAGTTTCTGAACAGAGACAAATTGGCTGAAAAGGGGACTGGGTGTTACCCGTGGCTGCTTGGTGGAACTCTGCAAGAACTTCTTCAGGGGTTTGCAGAAAATGAGCCTCTTACTCCCACTCTGAGAGTGGGGAAAAGTTTCCAGACACTTGTGAAACCCCACAATAACCAGGAGTTTGGTAGAAAATTAAATTATGTCTCAAACCTAAACTTACTCACCATTGCAAGTCCATCCTATGGCCATTAAGGATTCAGCAGTGTGAAAGCTGACAGGAACAACTTCTCTGAAAGGAAATTGTTCTGTGTTTGCTTCCAGCCTCGGATGCAGTTTTCTCTGAAGTGAAAAACAAGAGTTAGAATTTTTTTACATTTCATCTTCTTGCATGACAGATCAGGTTTTTTAAGAATCTTTGGTGAAGGATCCCAAGAACAGCATTTTGAAAGTGCACTTCTCAGGGAGGTCCATCCCCAGTGCCCTCAGCCTGACATGAGATGATGGTGTGAGCAGCTCACAGTGTCCACTGCTCCCCACTTCCAAAAGCCAGGTTTAGCAGGAAAAAAGCTTATGACTTTTAAACACTTACAGTTTACAAATATGAGAATAGATATTGAATATTACATGTTCTGACACCAGGCCTTCTCTGGTGATGGTGTGAGATCTCAGCAATTGGAGCTGAAGTTGGTGGTGGTGGTCCTGGAGCTCACATTTATTAATAGAAAAAAGATCAAATTCATAGTTGATTAAAACAAAGCTAAAAGCACATCTTTTGCAACACTGACCAGAATGAAAATTGAAAGCCCAGTTTCTCTCAATTTGGAGTCTTTACACACTGTTAATCATCTCCAGCAACCAGCAAGAAGTTTTATTTTAAAATCTTTTGTGTGTTTTTATTTCAAATATAAATATGGATGCAATATGTAATGTTCAAAACTTACCCCAAAACATCTGGAGGCCACAAAAGAAAAAAAAAAAAAAAAATAGCTCAGTCCTTTGTAAAGAGGAGCACAGCTTTGCAAAGTGGCCTTTGGAAAGAAGTGTCTTGGCTTCCTGGGCCACCCTCAGCAGGTGAGCCAGCCACGATGGATGGGCTCTGCAGCTCCAGCAGTCTCTGCTCTGGAAACACTGAACAGGGCATCGAAACTGTTCAGTTTCAAATCTTGTGTGGTTTCACAGTAGAAACCCTGAGCAACCAAATCACTCGTACAGGGTAATTTGGGTACCTTTGGGGAAGGTTTGGGCACATTTTCTTAATGTGCAGATAAAATATTCTTTGTGTCACTTTAAAAGACAAACTAAAGCAGTTTGCCATTCAGAATTGAGTGCAACCTGTATCTTTTGTTCTTGGAAAAGACCTTAGGGCGAGCTCCAGTAACCCAGATCTGAGCACAGGCACCGCCCAGAGCTGTGGTGCTGAGTAACCCAACTGTAATTAATGGCAGAAAATCCGCAGGGTGTGAATTCCCAGCAAGCATGAAGGGATTGCAGTCCAGTCCTTGGTGATAGAATGATCGTGTCAGAGTGCACAGCCTTTAAACCAATGGTGCCCAGCAGCAAATCTGTGCATACAGGTATTAGTTTTGCATTTTTGTTTTGTCTCTGTGCAAACTTTAAACAGGAGCATCCCCATTCTCAGCCTCTCATTAGTATTGAACTGTTCAGTGTTAGATAAAATTGGTGAGTATGACTATTCTGTACATACAAAGTAAGAATTTCAGGATATTGAAATCAGAAAGTAGCTGGGGTTTTATAAAATGCCTGAGAATCCAGGTTAATGCTGAATATGAAGAGTAAAAGTCATAGTAAATACAACTGACAACATATCAGGAGTTTAGTCTAGGTGGAGGTGAAAATGATAATCCACAGATTTGTATGTTACTTTTGCCAGCACAAAACTGCCTCGGCAGGGCTTTGTTCCCCTTCCTTTCCCTGCTCGCTGTCTCCTGGGTTCTTTGGCTGTTAACACTAGCAATATTTACCCAAATGTCACGCCTAATTGCACGTGCTAATGCTCTGTGCATGAGAGATGAGGAGTACAAAGGAGCTTCCTTTCACCTATTCCGACAGCACAGAACAGCTTAAGATGCAACCTACATTTTAAGGGGTGGAACTAAGATTAAAGGACAAATTTTCATGTAGATAAATATGCTTATCTAGTTGTGTTATGTTGATAGCAGCGTTTCCAGACTGGGCCATACCTGATTGTACTGCAGTGTGGTTTAGAACATCCCAATATTCACTCCAGAAACATGCTTTTACATATCAAAAGGCTGAAGAGTATTTTTCATTGTAAGACAGGAACCTGGAAGCTGTGCTTAACAATGCTTGCACATCCTTATGCTTAGACTCACATCTTTAAAGCAGCAGGATCAAATCCTGAATCTGATAAACTCAAAAGACATCTTTTGCCAAAAAAATCCAACAACTCAAACCCAAGAATGTCCCTGCGGTCTATTTCTGAAAAGTCTGATCACTTATTGCTCATAACATCATCACATTCTCTCTCCAGCCTTGTCTGAATGCAGACAGGGCTGGAAGGGCTGGGAGCACCCCTGGATGTTTGCCTGTCAGGCAAAGCAGCTGAGACTTGTGCTGAGGGTTCTGGCTGTTACTGCTGGTTCTGTTACTGAAGAGGATGACTTTCCTTTGCTGTGGAAGCGGTCTCTGAGGGTTCATTTATAAATGGAAGCAGAGCTGTCAGTAACTCATCCTGCAGACGCTGGATGGAGCCCTACTCTCTGAGGATGCCCGCTCCAGCTGTATCCGATGTGGCAGCGTGGGTCCGAGAGGAAAAGCCGCCTTACTGAATCCTTCAGGCGTTTTCTCAAGAAAATGTTGGACCTAAAAATAGAGTGTGGAACAGCAGCTGTGGCTCCCATCCCGGGCAGAGCCTGTGCCCAGCCCAGGCAGGACAGGACCTTCCTCTGGGGCCAGCTGGGAGAGACGGCGAGTCTGGGACTGGGGAAGTGCCTGAAATGAAAGGGAACGATAAAAATAAGTCTCTTCCAAAAACCAGTCAATCTGGGTTTGATTGCACCGGCGAGGGGAGTTCCTCTGGAGCTGGCTGCAAAGGGAAGAGGACTGGAGCCAGCAGCTGAAGCCCCAAGGCACAGTGACAACATGTTTTGGAAAGTTCTGGATCAAGTCTTTTGTTTCTTTATTATTCTGTGGTTGAGTGTATGCCTCTGCTGGAAACGCAGTTTTGCTTCATCAACCACACTTGTTTATTTATAGATTTATTTTTTTTTAATCAAGATTATAGACTAGCTTTGCCAGTGCTTATTACATTGAAATAATGTCAGGACAAAGCCCTTTGAAGCTACATTCTCAGGCCTTTCATTAGTATATTGAGGATTTAATTCTTAGAAAGAAAAAATAAGCATTGGAAGCATAAAGGTAAAGTTTCCTGGTTTGTTTTTTCTCATTTTCTTTTTTTTTTTCTTTTTTTTTTTTTAATGTAAGTAAAGGCATTTTTTAGATTCTTAATTTCCCTTTTCTCTTGTCCTGCTTCCCCCAGGCAGGCAGAGGTAGCATCTGTCTCTGGTAAGAGGAGACCCCAGGGCAGTCAGTGGCAGGGCTTTGGCCAGGCCTCGCTTGCCACAGCTGCAGGAACTGAACTGCCCCAGCTGGGCGCTTCTTTTTCATTGGCTTCAGATTTGGGAGATTATTTGTAAGGGGCCCTGGTATTTTAAAAGTAGCCTGATGTGGTTCCTGCTTGTTTTGGTGCTAGATTGGCTGACAGCTTTCTGCTTGTGGTGTTCTCATCAAATACCAGCTTCACTTGAGTCAGAGACTGAATGTGTCACCTCTTGGTTATTAATCTCCTTATATTATCACTGAAACACTGCCAGCCCATTTTATGGACTAGTATCCTTTTATTGCCAGAGATGCCTTCATATTTTCCTTTAAATTATGCTGCAAATTCAAGAGTTGCAGACACACAACAGAATAATCTGGGCTGGGTCCCGTTCTGCATCCAGAGGGGAATGCCTGTGAGACACTCCCTAGTGTATTTGAAGAAAGAGAGGCTCAGCTTCTCTAACACCATTCTCTTTCCAAGCACTCAACTTCCTGGAGTGTCTGGAAGAAGCAGCTACAGGCAGGAGTGTGTCAGCCACACCAGGGCCGAGGAAGCAGGGAGTGAGTGTAGATCTGCAGGAGAGCACCAGCTCATTCCTGCTCATCCTGAGCTCGGGAAGCATTCCCTCATGTTCAGCACTTAACAGAAAGCTCACCTGTTTTCTTTGTCCTCTCCAAGTGCTGAAAAGTGTTTGGTGATGGTGGCATGTAAAGGAAAGGGGCCCAGAAGTGTACAAAAGCTGTTACAAATTTCTGCTCACTGAAAACCATTACTTATGTCACTCCTCAAATTCCTGAGGAATTTGAACAGCTCAGCTGTTCATCTCCCACCTCAGTGACACAGTCAGATTTCCCTGGCAAAATCAGGATATCTCTTCAAAATAATTTTATTAGCCTAAGTATCTTCAAATAATTAGTTGTAAAAGCTATTACCAGCATTTCCATATGCAGGGCTGCAGCCTGAGTTTGGAAAACATATGGACATCCCAAACTCTAATGAGCAGGCACTGTCTTTAGAGGAGAAGGAAAAGCTGTTTTCCTTTATTCTGCAATCATGAAGTGAATGTTAATCAGAATAGTTACCATTTCAGCTAGTATCCACTGGGATTCAGGGAAACACAAAATAGCAGCATGTCAGTCTATTCCCGGCTGGAATACAGTCCACCACCTGGCAGCTTGCTGCTCTGGGTAGAAGATCTAGGAAAATAGGAAGTGTTGGTTGTCAGATTTCCTCTAATGGCTTTAGCACATTTCCTCTGGATCTCCACATCCTCTGGATGTAGCTGCTGTGCTTGTTGGGACATGGTGTCCTCAGGGGCTCTGCACAGGGATCTTTGTGACAGGCTGAAAGCAGAGCCGAGGCTGCACGGGGTAGCTGTGACCTGCAGGGTCACCTCCCTGCAGAGCAGCCTGGCTTTTCCCCATTTTTAATGGATAACTCACTACAGTAAAAACAGCCCCCATGGGACAGCAGGGTGGGAGAGCCTCACGAGGTGGGAATCACCTCTGACCCCCCTGGGATGCAGGAAGGAAGGAAGAGTGGGGATCTGCCCTCTGATAACCCCCAGACTCACTTCAGCTCTTTGATCAGGCCCCAGCTGAAGTCCCACCTCATATTCTTTTTCTGTTGTTCTACTTCTTTCTTCTATTTTTAATCATCGGGCTAACCAAGCTTCCTTCTCTGGGAGGCACAGGAACCAGGGCTTCCTCTGTGCATTTGCTGCCTTGGTTTTTAATTCCAGGAAAACTGAGGTTGCTGGGGAAATCCAGGGTGAGATTTCTCATTCACTGACACTCAGTGCATTTGTCTATATATTCAAATTTTGTCAAGACCTGCCCAACCACTGTTTTTAATTGCTCGGAATGGCACATTCTGTCCTTAGGGTCTGTCCCTCCTTTGAACTGAGAGCACCTTAACCCCATCCCAAGTTTGATGCTCTCCACAGACTTCAGCGCTGCCACAGGCCAGTAATTACAGCATTAGTTGTGCCCTTATTTCAAGTGAAGCATTGTCATTTTGTCTTTCATGGCAAAAACAAGCCTGTTTCACCTCACAACAGTTTTCTGAAAGTAACTCTTCCTGTTAAGTGAATTATGTGTTTTCTTCCATCTCTCTTCTGTGCTCAGGAATGTCAAATGCAGTTCACACTTATCAGTGAGTACTTACCTGTACACTTCCACTGCCAGGACTTAACACAAAAGGCAGATAAGTTCTCATTTGAGGAATAAATACACTGGATGCAGACCATAAATACTTTTGGTTCAATAAATGTTACAGTTGTTAAATGAGCTGCTAAGACCACAAAGGGATTGTGTTGTGTGGTTCCTGTGCTGGATGAATGATGCTTTACATCCCGAGGGACGACTGGCCCCATTCAGGGAACACTAGAGGCAACTGAAGGGTATTTTCAAGATAGAGCAGAGACAGAAGCTTGTGAGGTACTGTCCTACCTTTGGAGAGGAGCCAAGCACAATATTGGAAATGTCTGGGATTTTTCTGGGGAGCATCCAATTGCTACAGCAGTTACTACAGGAATAAGAGTGAGCAACATTTTCCAAGGTTAATAAGAGAATAAAGAGCTAAATAAACCAATCAGTGAATTTAAAATGAATGCAAGGTGAGACAACAGAGCATAGATCTAAATATTCCATCTGGACTTTCACAACCCAGAAGGGATGGTGGCTGTGTCAGAGGAGGCTTGGTGTAAAACAGCTTGGCTCTGGGCAGTCCAGTCAGCTTCAGCACAGTGCATTTGCTGATCAAATCCACGTCTTCCAGTGAAACCATCTGCAATGTGATTTGTCCTGCCTGACCAGAATGTAATGAGAACACACTACTGTGTGGCAGTACATGAGTTTCTGTGCTGTTGTTGACAGCTTCAATGGTTGTTTCCATAAAATTGGAAAATAATCATAATGCTGCCCACGTAGAGAGTGGAAGTGTTCTGAGAAAGTTGAATTGTCTTTGAGCTTTCTGCACCAAAGGAATGGAGGTAATGCAGTGCTGAATTACCAGAGGATTCCAGCCATGGAACAGCAGAATCCAGGGCATGGGAGGAGGGAAAGACACAGAATCTACAGGCACTGCCTGGTTACCTTTGGAGAGAATATCTTGCAAACCTGTCAAATGTGGCCATTCCTTCAACATCTGCAGATGCAAGTAAACGTCTGAAGACAAGTTTAGGCTCTGAATGGAACAGCTGCACTGTTATTAGAAGATTCATAAAACCTACAAAAGACCTCATGAATTTCTAAAGCCTCTGAAATGAAGAGTGTGCAAAATAACATCTGCTCATCTTTCCTGAGGTCTATTGTTGCATCTGCCCTGACAAAGAATCCCAAAGAATGCACATTGTTTGTATGTTTTCTAAACACTTTAGGAGACATCATTTCTAACAGCTCATTTGAATCTCCAGGAATATCCTTTGACACGAATTCCCTCTGCAATCAAACGGGAATTAAGAGGAAAATCTGTTCTTGTTTTACTATTTGAAATAGAAATCTGCTGAAAATCAAACAAGTACAGTTGCCAGAGGCACTGATGGGAATGGTCAGGCCCTGAACAATTGGTTCTTTCTGTGATTTTGCTTTGGTCACACAAAGCTTTTGCTCCCACCAGTGACTGGGGGGAGGGAGAATACACAGAATTTTCAATGCCTGTGAAAACCTTACAGATCTTCAACAGTACTGAAATAACTGAATGATGGTAACAGGAGTGTTAATGAAGAGGTTACAGGGAAATGTACCACCTCTTTTTTTTCCCCTCTTCAAAATATTTCAAATAATAACAGGTGCAAGAGTAGTAAACCAGAAAGTAAAATTAATTCCCTGTTATTGATTTAGCTTCCAAACAAGCTTTAGCTCTTCATCTGTCGGAGGGTTGTTTTGTGAGACAGAAAATTTTCTGTGGAGAAGCTTGAAAAAGGCAGTGCTGTAGGAGATATCTGTAGAATCACTGAGTTGATTGGGGATTGTGCAGGAAAAACAGAAGTACCTCTGCTGCTAGGAAAGCCACTGTCTTTCTTCACTCCATCACCAAGGGAATGGACAAACAAGGTTTCATTTGGTGTTGGACCAATGTGATCCGGAGATTAAACATGTTAGAAAGAGGCAACACAAAGAAAACTTAGAGCATTTGAATTTTTCTGAGTGGATAATTCCGGTTTCCTTCTCTATGACCTTGTCAATGTCTTGGGTAATCTCAACAAGGTACAGGGAGTTCCTTCTTGACTGACATTTCCTAATTGTTTTGTGACCTTTTCTCCTCTCTCTCTCTCTCTCTTCACACTCAGTTCAGTGCTTATTAAAATAAATTCAAAAAATTTATGTAATTAATATTGATTACTGTAGCTAGTGGTGCTGAAAATGCAGTTTATTGGCTCTGCTGCCTCACAGATCACCCTGCAGAAGCTGAAATTGTAGATTAGAGTGGTGGGATGCCTTTAGAATGTGCACCTTGAGTCTACTCCAGGAAAGTCCAGATGACAGGTGCAGTCACTTGGACTGGACGGGAGTAGGATAACATTTCAAATATGACAAATATAGTGATAATTTTAATCCAGATTGATAATATTATTTTAATGTTATTTTAAATGTGCATAAATATTATCTCAATATAATCTCTAAATTAAGCAATAGGCCTCATTGTTACTTTGAATAATTGGTAATTGAAAAATCTTTCCCATCTGTTTATAATAAAAAACATCTGCTCAACATCTGCCAGAGAAGAAAAGTCTTTGGTGGGAGAGAATCTATGGCTTGGAAAAAATGTGGTCTCTGTTCAGAGGGCAGAAATCATTGGGTGCACCTGCATTATCTGCCTGTTCTAATTTTAAATTCACTCACTCAGAGATGGTTTCCTGGGAGGAGGAAGAGCTGCCAGCTCTGCCTCAGCCTCATCCCCACATCCCCCTCTCCAGCCATTGTCTAGCTCTGCCTGGATTTAATTTATTATTATTGCATCATTAATGAGAATCACACATTCATCTGAGAATCACACCACATTTTGTTTTTTTATCTAGTAAAGTCAATTTGATTTTACTTAATCCATTCATACTATGGAATCTTTTTTTCCATCTTCCACTGGCTCACATACATGAAGAACTTGAGGGACTAAATAAACCCTTATATATTCTATACCACATTATTCCTGTGATGGCTTTTCAAAGCAGAATGATAAGTTTTCATGTTAATCACCTGCAATCCACGATGACCATAAGGTTGGCCTCAAGGATTCAGACAGATCTGTACTTGGAAATGTGTAACTGATCATGCTCACATGAAATTTCAGTTTCATCTAGAAAGATCTCTTCAAAATTAATGCAAGTGAAAATTTAATTTTACCAGGTCAGAAATACCCAAAGCCTTGTGATCTGGACAGTTTTTCAGACACCATCACACAGAACTGCTCAGAGTCTGGGTGCTAAATGCAGAGCTCACAGGCATTTCAGTGTTTTACTTCTTAAAACTGACGAAGCCCAGAGTGGTGGTTTTTAGTAGTACCTGTGGGTAGGGGTCTGAGCTGGAGCTCAGCATCTGCAGGTGTGGGTAGGGGTCCCAGTGGAGTTCAGCATGCTCTGCAGGTATGGGTAGGGGTCTGAGCTGGAGCTCAGCATGCTCTGCAGGTGTGCACAGGGCTGACAGATGCTGGCACGGACCGGCACGGTGCCAGTGCTGAGCCAGGGGCACCGGCTGGGAGGCGAGGGCAGCTGCTGCTCCTGCCCATCCCATCCCATCCCATCCCATCCCATCCCATCCCATCCCATCCCATCCCATCCCATCCCAGCTCCCCAGGACCTGGGGCAGGGGGGCAGAGTTGGCACAAAGGGACTCCTCAGCCACAGCCGCCTCCTCTGGGCATCTCTGCTGGCTTTGTTCTGCCTCAGCTGCAGCCAGTCTGACCTGACATCTGCCCTCAGGCAGGAATTGCCCTTGGAGACATTAACCTGATCAATTATTCTGTAGTTGTCTTTAATAAATTCTCATTTTGCATTAATACTGAACGACAGCCAAATGAGAACCACTGCTGTGTGCAGCTCGGGCCGTAACCAACAGTCCATGGCCGGTGTCTCTCATCTCCTCTTTGGTGACAAGATGGGCTGAGTTTGATGAGTGGAGGACAAGGGCTGTGGCAGAAAGCTGTCCCTGCAGCCGTGCTCCCCTGGTACACAGCGAGAACCATGTGCTGCTTTGTGCCCTCAAAGCTTGCTACATCCTCCCCCCATTTAGGTTTCTCTTCATCCCTCTCCTGTAGTCACAAGTGCTTTTGTTACAAATCACAGCAGTGAGGAGACACGTCTGTCTGCACCTCGAGAGGACACGTGTCTGAACCTCTGCCACACGGTCACATCCTCCTTTCAGCCACTTGCTGGAAAATACCTTCAGCTCTGAGAATCAGGAGTCCCTTCAGCTGCTGAGCTGTGACAAAGTTGTGCCTTTAATCAATGTCAGAGCCAAACACACAAAGGCAGTAGTGGAGTAAAAGCTTTGGTAGTGCAGAGCACATCAGAAGGCTGCCCTGGGGCATCTGACAGTGTCTGGCAGGTGACATTTCCATGGCAGCAAACCCAGGCCAAGTTCACGGTGGGGACGCTCAGAGCCAGCCAGCTCCAGCTCCAGGTGATCATTTGCAAGCACTGGAAATGGTGATATATGAAATGCAAGAATATCCTGTGAACGGTGTTTATTGATGCAACTTCAGATCTTCTTTCCACTGGATGTATTGAACAGCTCAAATAACACTGGCAAGGAATTATCAAACAATTACAGGATTAATTTGCCCTTTCAAAATTTGATTACATGTTTTGTGTCATCTAATCCTGTCACTCAAGGAAATCATAATTATGTTTCCCTGCAGCATAAATGTTAGTGAAATGTGCTGTCCAAGTCAATCAGTGTTATGAAGAAATTAATCTAACCCAGTTCCTGTTGCTAATGAACTTTTCCATTAGCTGTGAGCTCTTGTCTGTGGTCTGTGCTGGTCAGGCAGAGCAGCTTCAGCTGCAGCTTTGCTGCCGCTCTCTCACATGGCTCTGTCAATGTCTTCCCATGGAAAGAGGGCACAGAGTGCAGGTTTTTGTGGAGAGATGTGTCCCCTGGCCATGGATCAGAACTTGGGCTTTTGGTGTGATGGATCTGCAGGTGCATTTGGGCTGAGTTAGAATGTGAACACCCCACAATGAGACAGGCTGAGCCTGGCAGAGTGACAGCAGCATGGCTTTGCCTCTCTCAGTCCTACCCTGCGTTTGACAGTGCATGGAAAAAGGGTTTACCTTCATAGCAGTTAGAGAGCACAAGTTCACAGCACCAAATAATTCTGGTAACAAATTTGTTTTCTGTGCTGGTTCCTTTTAAAATGTCTATGATTTGCTGCCCCAGTCTCCTGGACAGAAGTGATTGGGGAGTGGTGGAGATGGAGCTGCAAACACAACAGCATTATCAAGGGGCAAATGCAGGTTTGAAACTTTGTGACTAAGTTAGACACAGAGTCCATATTACATTATACTGGTCCTTTATGAAAAACTGTAGGATAAGTTAAAAGTTGTATTATATTTGATAAAATATGATGGAAGATACAGTATAAGAAAAAGTGAAGGGCTGAGATGTAGCACTGTATTCCTGCCCATTACCTAGCTCTTCATTCTTCCTATTGTAGTTCCTTTCACACTGTAGTACCTCTGGTTCTGGAATTCCTTATTCAGCCATTCCTCCAACAAAGCACTTGAGTGCAGAGACAGTCAGTTGCTCAGAAGATGCTTATGTAGGTGACAACTCTATGTGTTAGAGTTAAGCATGAAATAAACAATACTGTGGTGTCCTCAGCACAGCTTCCTATCTGAGTCAGCAAGGAGGGGGTTGGTCTTTATTGCTGTTTCTCTTTAGCATATGATTAGTATCAAGTTTCTTTTCAAGTGCTTTGCTCATGGATGTTTCATGTTGGAGTTTTGGTTTCCAAGATAACATCCCTCCTCACTGAAAGACAACATAATTTTTCTGACTTGTCTTTTCATTAATTATGCCATGACTTCCCCCTGATAATGCAGGGGGAAGATATTTCATTTTCATTTTAATAGCAGAACTCCCTTATGTAAAGTGATGAATGGCTGAGATCCTGACCTGACCTGAAGTCTGCTGAAATCAGTAAGTACCTTCTCTTGGCTTTTGTTGTCTTAGGATCAGACTGTGGAGCATGATCCTGTCCACTGAAGTCAGTGGGAATTCTGTCTTTGATTTCACTGAGCACTGCTGAAGAGGACATTTAATGAACAGTGCATTTCATGGTGGCAGGCTGTTACTCTGGTAAAATGAGCTACTTGTAAAATCCAGATTTCCTTCAGACATGATGTTATAGGTAGAGAAATGAAAAGTCAGATGGTCAAATCTTCCAGAAATTCACTGGGCTTTCCTTCCTGTGTTTAGCGTTTCTTTATGACCAACATGACAGCAATTGCTATTCCAGATACTGTTATGAGAAAGCCTCACATGTCACACAACAAACTGAATACCTCATTCTTCTGGGACATTCAATCACCACTGAAGAATTGTTCCAAAATATTGTGTTGCCAGTTTGGATTTGGAGATTATTGTTAATTTGATGACAAATACAGCTTTTCCTTTCCCTTTCCCAACCAGGAAGGCTCATTTAAAGTTTAGGTACATGAGCTCTGTGAGCCTGAGGATCACACAGCAGGTTCTCAAAGCACTGGTTGTTCCCCTGCACACAGGAACCACCACATCCAGACAACAGCTCCACCAAAACTCAGGCAGAATGGCTGTAAGGTCCATTCTGTTTCCTCTTCAACGTGTGGGGAGCCTCTGGCAACTCACGAGGACATGAACTTTCTGTGTCTGTACTATTCTTAATTGCCTACTATGTGGTCACCATATTATCTATTTGTGGCACTTGGCCTTGCAGCCAGCTCATTTCTGAGCCACAGACCTGGGGCAGCTCCTCCCCAGGTGTCACTCCAGAGGCTCTGGGAGGCTTCTCTAGGGAAGGCTGTCATTAGACAACAGCAGCAGGTCCAAACTTTGGGCCTTGTTTCTGGATTTAAAGTTAATGTGTTAAAGTCCCAACTGCAGGCATACAGACATGGGATTTTAAGACTGTTCCCTTGTTTAAGCTCATGGCAGGGTAAATATAATGGATCCATGTTATCTGGAGCAGTATTTGCATGAGATACACATCATCAGCTGAAGTTAACCTGCCTGTGGCTCAGAGGAATGTGCCAGCTGGAAAGCACATGCTGTTTCCTTTACTCCCCCTCTGACCATGACAGTCCCTCAATGTGCATCTGTGTAGGACTGAGCGTTCCAAGGAGCTTGGATTGTCCAAGGGTTGTGTGGCCTTAGGCCTGTTAAACCTAAACCATTTAGGCAGCCCTGCTGTGTCCATAATCCCCTCCTGAATCAAAGCTGGGCAGCAGCTCCTGCTCAGCCTCCTGGGCACTCCTGCCTGCTCCATTCGATTTGCTCAGGGTTAGCAATGGCTTCATTAGGGGAGAAATGCTTTTGGGAACAGAACTCCCTGGCCAAAGCTGCTGGGAGGCTGCTAAGGATTAATCCCACCTCCCTATCTCAGGCAGCATCTCTGGATAGTGCTTGGAACAGAAATCACTCACCATTGGAACAACACACTAAGACATAACCAAGGACTCCAGTTTCTCCTACATGCTGGCCCAGAGCTGCCTGCTCCCTTTGGATGCCCAAGCACTCCTTTGTGCAGGCTGCACTGGGAACATAGCTGGGGATGGGTTTGTTCCCTGTCCCTGGAGTTTCAGTGGTGCCTGAGGACAAAGCCAATCTGTTTTGCAGCACCCTGTACCTGAACAGTTCCAATGCAAAAGCTAAACTGAGAGAGGTGGGTGTGTGCTGCTCAGGCCCGAGTCCCTGGATCACAGCTGTCCTTGTTTTCTGCTCCTGCGGGAATGCAGGATATTCCAGTATGAGTCTGCTGGCCCCTCCTAGCCTTCTCACCACTGAAGCTCTGAAGGCCCCTTCATGTGGAATCCCTTGGCTTCACCAGCAGCAAAGTCTGAGCCATGTTTTGACATGAGAAAATTCCTTGTTTTCTTTGGAAGGTTCAAACAACTCCCAACTGTCTTCAACTGCTAATGACAAAAAACCCTTTCCCACTCCTCTAGGGATTTAAGTTCTATCCTGTGTCTTCAAATGAGGGAGACACAACTGGTCCTGCACTTTAGGGGTGGATCTGCATGTTCATTAAATGCCTAGACAGTAAATTGAGTTTAAACATCCATAGCACTATTCATTTTTGTCTTCAAAGCTTTGGAAATCCATCTAGCTCTGTAATGATATGGAGAAAACAAATAAAGCAAAAGAATGTACATTTCTACAGAAACATAGAATATGTTGTATCTAAAAATACATTTAATCTCAGCTGAAAAATAAGAATAATATATGCCAAGATCTCCTTAATCACTGAGAATGGAAGGATAAAACATTCTTGGTACATGAAAAGCAAAGCCTTGTCCAGCTGTGGTCCATGTTGGGAACTGTTCAGCAGTGACCAGTCAGGGCACACACTGCTGGGATGGATGGAAAGCAGGCAAGGTGCTTCAGATGAACATTCTGGTGCAACCAGAGGGACTCAGCACATCTGAGTAATTGACTGCAAATTGGCAGATGGCTGTGGTAAGAGGATTACCACAAATCAAGTTAGATGGCAAGTGTAACAAAGCAAT